TTGCTTGATGTAAATAATGAAAAGAGTAAATTTATTATAATATATTAGACTGCTAGTGGACAATGGCTTTGTCTGCTTGATATCCGGTAAAATGTGCAGGTCACAACTGGGTATGCATAGTCATGTGAAACACTGCACCCATCTTTGCTATTCATTGATTTTTATTATTAATTTTAGTTAGTGTCATATAATTAGTCTTTATCTCAAATATGGATGGCTGCTTGGGCATGTGGTGTTCTATCTGGACTGTGCCTTGATGGACCCAGGCTGGAACACTGCCCACCACCATCCCCCTCCATCCTGAAGAGAAACTTGGGCTAGAATGTAATAATCTTACATTCTGAAGGAACTTCCAAACTTGTAAAACAAAAACTATGCAGTGATTTCCAACTCAGGCTGTTCTTGAATTATTTTCTTTAGAGGTTTATTTGCATCTATGGTTTTGATGCAGATTGGGCCAGATTGATATACAACATTTTGTTGCTGAACAAAGGCACCCATTATTGTCTAATTTTGTCCAGAGGTAAAAAATTATTGTGGTTGTGTAATAGCTTACAGGAGAAAAAATTATCACTTTTGTGTGGATGTTTGTTTGAAGTAATGGCCTTCTTCACCTCTTCTTCATGAAGGGATATTTCTTATTCATTTGTCAATCCACATCTTTCACCAGTTTGTCAGCGGTTTTATTAATATTTTTTATATTATAGCTTTTATATAGCGCTACTTTCATGCTTATAGCATGCTCAAAGCGCTTTGGTCCAATCTCATTTGTGGACCAGTGGGGGGGAGGGGGTATCTAGGAGTTTGTTTTTCGTGCTGCCTTTAGGCGCTCAGTAAACACACCTCTGAACCTCGAGCCCCCGTCTAGGTAGCCAAGCCAAGCTAAGTTCAAGCGCACTTAGCCTCTCGACCACGCTTCCCACCATTTTTCCTGAATTTGTATGTGTGCTATGATTCTTTTCAGAATAGTTTCTTGGTTTCTGTTGTTGAGATTTGTTAGTGCTGTCTTGAGTAATTTGACAAAGGATACATCCGATTTTTTTTTTACAGTTTGGAATAGTTTTGGCATCAATCAGGGAGACTGGCATGTAGGGCAAGGCTTAAAATTTGTTTTTCACTATTTCCCTGCAAACAATTTGTTGTCTGCTATCTTCAGTTTGTCGTCAGTAGTGTTTCTGATGGACGGAAGACAGGTTGAGTCCATGTCAGGAAATCATACCGTTCTTTGTTACTGTTTCCAATTCTATATATTTCTATTTATATATTTTTTTAGAAACTTTGTTACAAAAAGACTTAGTGTGTCATTCAAGTTACAATTTTCATTTCTATTCCTTTTATGTTTTATTTCCCCAATACCGTACTTAAGCAAATGAAGGGGGCTTGGTGGCTGAGTGGTTAAGTGATTGCTTCTGAACTTGAGGTCCTGGGTTTGAATCTCGGTAAAGACTGGGATTTTGAATTTCGGGATTTTTAGGGCGTTATTAGAGTCCACCTAGGAAAGTAAAGGTGGTTGGTTCATTGTGCTGGCCACATGATACCCTGCTGGTTAACCATGGCCAAAGAAACAGATAACCTTAACATCATTAACATCATCTGCCCTGTATGGTCTGAAAGGGTAACTTTACTTTTTAGTAAGCAGATGAAAAAAATTCTGTGATACATCATTTATATAATAACAATTTCAAATCACAAATATTATAACTTTTTTTTTCTGTTAAGGTTCCACTCAGCTGCCCAAAGAGAGACAAGTTAAAGGAAACATCTTGTCATACCTAGACCTGGGCTGTGGGACATCAGAATTGTCTTCAAAAGTTTTTATGAACTGTCCACATGCTACATCACTAGTCCTGCTGGATTTCATACCAGAAGCTTTGAATTACCAATTGAATAAAATGTTGGAATGCAAGCCATTGCTGAAAGAATCTACTTGTGTGGGCCTTGTAGCAGATGTTCAGAAATTGCCTATTGCTTCAGACACATTTAATATTATTGTAGATAAAGGTAATGGAAATTTTAACTTATTGACTACTATTGCAATAGAATGTTTTGTTTTACAAGTTTCGGATGTTCGTTCGGAATTGAAGATCATTATATCCTACACTATTGTCACTATGATCTTGCATTCGAACACTGCTGTCCTGTTGTAGATTTGAATGTAATAATCTTCATTTCTGAAATATGTATAGAAACATATAAAATAAACAAATACATAGTTAAATTAATTAATTAGTTGGAAATATTACCATTTATTATCCATAACTAGCAAAACTTTTCTGAGAATGCTCATCATGTCCTTCAAAGCTGCATATGGTACTCTATGATAGGCCCAAACACGACATTGGCCCCGAAACCCTCCCACAGAAGAAAAACTGTATGGAGAACTGCCTGATTTGGAAACAGCTGTTCGTCTTATATAGGATTACTGAATTGAACCCTCTGACATAAAGACATAAAAAAAAAAAAAAAATTAAAACGAAGAGGAAGAAGAATTAGCCATAGAGAATAAAGAATAATAATAAAGAATAGATTGATAAATAAAATGGATTAGGAAAGCAATATTTGATTAAAGAACAAATAACGTACAAAAATAAAATCACATGGAGCTCAAAATGGATTTCCCGTGGGCTCTATGAAAACTTTTTTGTTTCATATTTCCTTGAAATAAATCTTATTAAAATGTTGTGAAGACTAGAATTTTTCAAGACAATTAAAAAAATGTGTTTGTTTATTGGCTGACATAGTTTGAGGTCTGTTTACCTTGGTAGCATTCAATTGTGTATCTCTCTTTTCTAAAGAAAAAAAAAAATGTGTATCTTAAATATGATGTAGCAAGTGTTACAAGTACATTGATAAAAATTTTGTAACATTTTTTAGGAGACCAAATGTCTTGTATGTTTTCAAGTTCCTCTTTCAGACCTTCCGATCCTTAGGGCTTATGGTGTAAAGGTCATCTGTTTCTGTGGCCAATTGTTAATGAGGGTGTCATTTGGCCGGCAAAATAACCAACTGCCTTTACTTTTCCCCAACTAATGTCAGAGGGGCGCTGTGGCTGAGTGGTTAAGCGCTCGGCTTCTGAATCTGGGTTCGAATGTTTGTGAAGACTGGGATTTTGAATTTCAGGATTTTTAGGGCGCTCCTGAGTCCACCCAACTCTAATGGGTACCTGACTTTAGTTGGGGAAAGTAAAGGCGGTTGGTCGTTGCGCTGGCCACATGACACCCTGCTCGTTAACCATTGGCCACAGAAACAGATGACCTTAACATCATCTGCCCCATAGATCGAAAGGTCTAAAAGGTAAACTTTACTTTTTTACTTTTAACTAACGTCAGGCACCCGTTAGAGCTGGGTTGACTCTGAGGCACCCTAAAGATCTCGAAATTAAAAATCCTAATCTTCAACAGAGTTCAACCCCAGGACCTATCAGTTTTGAAGCCAAGTACTTTACCACTCAGCCACCACTTATTTTTAGTTTGTCTTATTTGGCTTATCTTATATTTAGTTTGTTTCATGGAAAATAAAACCTCCAAAGGAAAATTAATAAAAATGCTGATCATATTTTTTAAATTACAGGCACTATGGATGCACTATTAAAAGATAAAAGTCGAGGCCACCTCAAAACACAGTTGATGATGTCTGAAGTGGTGCGTGTGTTAGCCCCAGGTGGGCGCTATCTGCAGATATCTGACGAAGACCCAGACAGCAGACTTCTCTTCTTAGAGCAGTCGTGTGACAAGTCTCACAAAAGCTCACATCCACTGCCTGAATCAAACACTGAACCATGCATCCAGTTACCTCCCTTGCCCCGTTCAGCATTAACCTCGGCTGGCAAGACCAAATGGCCAGAATTCATTTTACCAGCAGGAAGACTTTTGAACAAAACAGACTTAGCAACATACAACCAGAACATTGTCCATGCTGTTGATGAATTGAGCTGTGAGAGTAGCTCTGGCTTTGGTGACACACTTTGTAAGCCCGAGGACTTTACTACGACTCAACTCTCCCCATGGTCATTTCAAGTACTTTTGTCTCCTAGTGATACAGAATTTTTTGTTTATTGGACGGATAAAAAAAAGTTATGATAAAATATGAAGTCCATTATTTTTTCTTAGTATTAGATGCTGGTAGATGACTTCTGTGTGTTACTGTCCATCAGAATATTACTAAAGCTGGGAAACTAATATCTTGAGCTCATTGTTGTAAGTTGAAATTTCAAGGGGGGGGGGGGGGGAAAGGAGTTGAGAGTCATTAACCTCTTGGCTACCTGACAAAGAGGCTCAAGTTTGAATCCCAATGTAAAAGTTAAGTTCCCCTTTTCAGACCTTGCGATCTAAAGGGCAGGTGATGTTTAGGTCATCTGTTTCTTTGGCCCCACAGTTAACGAGTAGGCTTTCATGTGGCCAGCATGAGAGTTTGAATAGGAACCAACACAAATATTCTCAAAGACGTTTGTAAAAAAAAAAAGGTCTGACCGTAGAAAGAAATTGAAATAAAAACAAAATGCATATGCACCATTCAGTAAGTAAAAGAAAAACATTTCACCTCATCTTAGTGTAAGCTTACTGAGCAGCATTAATAAACATGGTTAATAAGAGATGGATATTTCATGTGTCAAGTTGAATGCTCATAGTCAAGATATTTTATCACTAGTTAATTGGGAATAATTTAAACCTAGAATCATGCACTAGAAATAATTGTAAAATAAATAAATATTTAAATGTACGAGTCATTATTTTGTTGAGCTGTAAACTACAATAAAGTATGGTACATTTTTTTAGCAACAATGTTCTGAACAAAATGTGGTAATATTGTGTCATTTCATATGAGGAGAATAGGAAACTTTGGCTTGAAGTTACAAGACATAATGGTAGAATACAGCTTTTAAAATTAGTGAAAAAACAAAAACAAATTCCAATTTAAAAAAAAATTTATTGAATAAAATTGATCATAACATTAGATCACAGATGAACTCCTATTCAAACTCTCAAAACTCGGATACAAACACGAGTCTACCTGGAAACACAACACACACCTATCAACCAAATGCACATTCAAACATCACACACATATTACTAGAACCACAATGATTTGAACACAATCTACATGTTGAAAGCATTCAAAGCTATTTGTAGAGGGTTTAACCCAGCTTCAAATAAACAAACTACATACATTCAATTAGGTAAGTTTATTTACTGATTAAAGTACAAATAAAAAAAAATTAAAACATTATTCAAGCCAAGCCATTATTCGAGCCAAATTTTTTATTTTTGATTCTTATTTTGGTCTAATAAAGAAATATGTTTTCTAACTTGAAACAAATTAATAAGTACTGTGCGACTTACAGCAATATGCCAGGTAATCACCACATGGGATAAAATGGTATAACTGATAACATTTCGTCTTTTATGTTACTGGTATATCAGTAAAATACATTTAATATTGATGTTTGTAGTGTGAACAGACATCTAATTTTATCAAGAAATAATACATAGGCTTTTTTCCTGTATTCTTGTGAATTCTGCTTAAATTTACATTATTTAATTTAAAAAAAAAATGTTGTAATTGTTAACTCTTTCTCTCCGTAATTATTTTCTATGTTGCAATGGAATTATTAATTTTGCACATGTGTATTTCACTACCCTGTTATGATTAAACTTCAATTTTTTTTGTTTATTATCAGAAAATGTTTTTTTTTTTTTTTTTTGGTCTAGAATTAAAGAGGATTGCATGCTCTTTTTACACAATGCAAATTAATGTTCACAAAACCAAAAATAAATTTAATGAAGTCAAATTGATATTTGTATCGTCAATTAGGAGAGAAAGAGTTAAGCTTACAGTATTGTAATATTAAAAAGAAGCAACAAACCTAATGATATATATAGGAACTAGCGACAGTAAATTATATAAACGTTACCACTGCAAGTTGCAAAGAACTATTTAAAGAAATACAATAAACAAGAAATCCTCCTGGATTAAAATTGGTCCCATGTAACCTTCTTCAGTTACCAACCAGTAAAGACAACTAAGTCAGTGTGACCCAATATCTTTAGTTATTGTATTTCTCCAGTTGTATTGCTTTAGACTGGTCAATACAGTGACATTTTCACAGCTCTCATAGGGATAACAAAAACAAATACTTCTGTTGACATTTTCACAGCTCTCATAGGGATAACAAATACTTCTGTTGACATTTTCACAGCTCTCATAGGGATAACAAATATTTCTGTTGACATTTTCACAGCTCTCATAGGGATAACAAATACTTCTGTTGACATTTTCACAGCTCTCATAGGGATAACAAAAACAAATACTTCTGTTGACATTTTCACAGCTCTCATAGGGATAACAAATACATTTGCTAGGATTGAAATAAAATTATTTTAAACCTCGAAATGTACAATCTTTTTTAAAAAGTTCGGCACAATGTTATTTGAAGCAATTAACTAATTTGGCAGAGAAATCAAAAGGTTCAGACTTTTCCTGTTCTCTGGAATGCCATCAAGTCCCCATTAAACTAAACAGTATGTAAAGAAATGGTTTCTATTGGACTAAAGACTTACAACTTCTTCCACCAAACCCCTACCAACTTATATCCTAGCAGGTTTATAGACACTGCAGGTAAAGCAGATCTAGGAACCTGGGACTCAATAACCAAATGATTCCTATCACTTTCTCAGTGAAACAATTCACTTATTGTTAACATAAGATTTAGACAAATAAATGGACCAACCATGCTTTTATCTCAACACACAATTATATGTATCCACAATTTATTTAACATTCTTTCACTTAACTGAATCTGGAATAACTTCCCCATCAAGACAAACACAAAATAAAAACATGTTCATTAACCCATTACACATCTTAAACTTGAACATCTGAATAGTTTGGTTGGTCTCTACTGTACATGACATTTAGCACATACCCATAACTCTTCTTCGAATTGAAAGTCCATTTACACAAAGATTGCCCACGCCTGTAGCAGGGCATAGCAGTGAAGCAGAAGTCCTTCTAATAACTGTCATGTTGATAACCTGACACACAATACTCATTAAATGCTTGCAACAAACCATCTAATGTGGCTAGCCGCCCAATGTAATAATCTCTCAAACACATTGAACAGATATACTCTACATAACTAATGGTGGGGGATAACTACAACACAAGAATGCAATCAACAAGATTGTTTTTATAAAAAACATAATACCTAATTCTGAGAGTTCAAAGGGAAGACAATCAAGGGGAGAGCATCGACATTTTTTTTTTTTTTAAAGGGTAACTCTGTCTAATGGACAGCAATGGATCTAAATAGTTATTCCCACTATTTGATTGTATCTTGTTATGGCAGTGACAGAGTGGTGTGTCTGTGTAAGGTAGAGGAAGGTCATTTCAACCAATTCTGACCTCCTATCTTGCAACTTTAGGCTGATGTGAAAACCATGAGCTACTACACTGTAGAACTGGACCAGTTGGTCTTTGATTTCAACAAGTATCAATTTCATTGGAATAGTACTTATAGGGAGCTTAAAAAATCGAAAAGGATTTTTTTGTTACAGAACAAGTTTCAATGATGTCATTTTTTTTAAGGCAACAAAATTGTTTAGAATCTTAATTGCACGATGGGATATTTAAAAAAATGGATAAATTAATTTCACGAAAAAAAACAACTTATGACTTTAAACATTTTGTAAGATTGACAAAAATAGACATGTTCAAGTTTTCTATGGATGATTATTTCCCTTACTAAAGTTGCCGGAAGGAGACTATTTTCAATATAATTAGTTGACGATACAAAATCAAGTTAATACATTACACCCCTTCCAAGATCACACGTAACTCCCTAGAAAAAATATAAATAGCGGATTTTTATTATCAGCGAAATTTGAAAATAAAGTAAGTTTCATAATGTCAGCTCCATGTTACCTTACGTTTCTGCGTAAAATATAAATAATGCCAAATAGAACAGCAATGAGAGATGCTAAATAAAGATCCCACTCAGGACCAAAGTAATTGACGGGATCCAATAGCTCTAATAATCCAGATACGCCTTCAAACTGCAAAAAGAAGACGACAACAACATGGTAGAATGAAAAAGATAAAAGTATCACAATTAATACAACAAAAATCTATTCTGTCAAAAAATTTATTAAAAATGCTGTCTATGAGAAATGAATTCACTTGTTTTGTTTTACATGTTTCGGATGTTCCTTCAGAGTTGAAGATACTTTACTTCCTAGTCCAAACCTCCCGCAGGACGATGGGGGATAGGAGAGGGCAGGGTTTGAACCCTCAACAGTCGATAAATCCAAACGACAGACCAGAACGCAAACTGCACGACCACGCAGTCACTAAACTATATTAAAAGGGTAAATGGCATCTCTTGTTTTTTTTTACCTAGGAAGTTATAGGTATTTAAACGAATTAGACTGATAGTATTGGTCAAAGTGTCAAAAAAGTAAATTAAAGTAGGATTACACATGTCAGAAAAGTCAAGAAACTAATTATAAAAACAGAAAGTAGGGAAAACACGGTGACATATCCCTCAGGTCATTTGGTGGCACAGACCTATGTAGGCGGAGTACATTTTGTGAGGCCCACAAAACACAAAAAATGTTAAGGTAACTGACATTTGTGGAACTATACTACAGCCTCTGGTGAATCAGAGGTGTGATAGTGGGTGGTAAAGAGCTTAGCTTCCAAACCAGGGGTCCAGGGTTTGAAGACTGGGATTTTTAATTTTGAGATCTTTAGAGTGACTCAACTCTAATTAATGGGTACAATGACAAAAAAAAAGAGTTGAGGCTGCAGCTAAGTCACTGTGACTTACTATCAGGTCACAGTAGTCTACAGTTAGTTCAGAGCGAGCTTCAGTTGAGTCTGACTAAACTTAAGTTTAGTTTTGCTAAGTAAGAGTGATATTGATTTGAGTATGAGTGGCCTACTTTTGAGTCAGAGTGACCAGTATTTGAAAGTGACCTACAATGAAGTTAGAGTGGCCAGTTGGTTTAGAGTGATCCACTGTTGAGTCAGAGTGACTTATTTTTGGTTCAGAATGGTCTACAATAGAATGACATACAATGAAGTCAAGAGTGACGTAAAGTTAAAGTGGCCTAGAGTTAATAAATTATAGCTTCTATATAGCGCTACTTTCATGCTTATAGCATGCTCAGATTGCAATGGTCCAATCTCGTTTGTGGACCAGTGGAGTGAGGGGGTACCTGGGAGAATGTTTACTGAGCGCCTAATGTTTTCTGTGCTGCCTTTAGGCGCTCAGTAAACACAACCTATGCTTGAGTCGGGTGTTGAACCTTGAGCCCCCTTCATAGGTAGCCTAGCCAAGTTCAAGCGTATTTAGCCTCTTGACCACGCATCCCACAGTTGTGTGAGTCAGGCTTACCTCTTTGTTAAAGACGTCCATCCCATAAAACATGCCAAGTTTAAGAAGAGCAAGAGTGACTGGAATGTGAGCATCGATGCTAGTCTCAGAGGCCAGGTCATAGAACCTCTTGGCTAAATGAACATCCTTAAATCAAATGAAAGAAATATATTTTAACACCTCCTTCTGGTTTCTGTTTGACAAAAGCTCAGTTGACAACTGAGACATTTTTGTCTGGAGTAATCAATATTTAATCGTATATTATAAACAATATCAAAAGTTTTATTCATTAACTTTTAATTCTTGCCAACTCTTGAGAGCAGTATTTAGTTGACTACAATATATCCCAACTATGGGCGATAGCCTTTTCTGTACAACCAAAAGTTTAGAACTTGCTACCCACTGAGGCCAGACAAACAATTTGTTTCACTACGTTCAATAAGAACTGTTACAGTTTTCTAATGTGTCTAGCTCTATAGAAACTACAAGGTTTCAGCTGTCATTACAAAAACATTTAATAACTCGGTCAAGACGAACACAGCACTTTATTACTCTTCGTAGCATATATCACGCACTGGCCTTGTCTAAAAACGAACACACTTCTGGTCATTGTGGCATTCGTTCCAACTAACATGTATTAGTAAAAATAGAGTATACACACATTCATCTGTGACAAGAACAATAAGAACTATCTATTCAAAATTTATTTAGATTTATTTTAAATCTAGTTTTTTTAAAACTGTTATCTGTATTCTGTTTGTTAATGCAGCTGAAATTATTGTTTAAAATATTATTTTTACACTTCCAGTAAAACTCCACTTGGCCCCTGTACAACAGTGTACCAAAAACTTGAATATTTTCAACTCCCTCCAGAGAGTAACATGCCATAACATTTTAACTGTATAGATTCTCTCACCTGCTTGAGCCCTAAGCCTTTCTCGTGCATGTATCCCAGGTTGAACATGGCCTGGGCATTATGCTGCTGCTCCGAGGCCATCCGGTAGTGTGTGGCTGCTGACTCGTAGTCGACATCGGTACCAAGGCCATAGTAATGGTAGTCTCCCATCTTTAGTATGGCATGAGTGGAACCTAGGGAACAAAAAAAAGAAAGGAATTCTTTAAGAATCTCATCTCTACTTTTTAACCAGCATCATAAAATGATGTATCCAAGAGTTTATCAAATAGGACGCTATGACATGATGAGTAGCTTCAGCTGAGTCTAATGACATAATATCATTAACAAAATTAACTCAAAGTAAATAAAAAGTGTTTCCTTAATCAAATCTTTATGAAAACTTGATTTTGTTTGAAACAAGGCAATGTAGAACTGACTATTGAGCTCTCGCAGCTTAGACAAACACTCTCTTACCTTTTGTTTCAAAAAGATTGATGTATTTTTAAAGTTTCATATATTTAGAGTCCTGTGTGTTAAATGTGTTCGATGCACCTTCTTCTATGTGATGAACAGTGTTGCTTTTATTTGTCTTTGGAATTCTAGTTTTTAATGAACTTTTGCTTTCTTTATTTGCAGTTTAGATGGAATCATTTTGGCATGTGAAGTTATTACTCTAATTCATATTTGTGATCCGACTATTATTCTATTATTAAACTGCTGTTTTGATCTATCCCTTTCGTTGAGGTTCTTAGGGCTCGCTGTAGGCATGAGTTGTTTGTTTTTTCTCTACATTATTGTTATGCTTTGATTAAATTTGTTTTTGTGTGTGGGGTGGATAGAAATAGTTTT